CAGGAATGCACATAGTGACATCTGTGGAGAGGCCATTCCCTGGGTGGCAGGGAGAATCAATGGTAGGATCTGGTATGCTCCAAGAGGAAAGAGTGCAGTGCAAATGTGGGATGGACAGATGCAACTTTACCATCCCTAGGAGCTTACACTGGTGAAAGAGCAATGGTGTGCTGGCATGGGAAAGAGTGTCTTGTAAAGTCTGCCTTTTACGGAGAGATTGAGACATGGAACCCGCTTGTGGGCCAGGGAACTGAAGGAAAGTCCGTCTTACAGAGATGAAAGCATTGTCCATGTTAGTGTTGTTTTTTGTTTTTGTTTTTGCTTTTGTCTTTGTTTTTGTTGAGACAGGGTTTCTCTCTATTGCTTTGAGGCCGGCACACACTCTGTAGATGGGGCTGTCCTCGAATTCACAGAGACCCACCGGGCTCTGCCTTCCAAGTGCTAGGATTAAAGGCGAGCACCACCACCACCCCGCTGATGTTGCTTTCCTGAAAGTAATGTATCCATGTGTACTACTTTTTAACTTTCATAGCTCAAGGAGCTTCCAGCTGATTCAGTTAAACCTGCAGAGATGATGAGTCTATGTCTAGAATGAGGTTGTGTCAGGGATGGAAAACTGTTTGGGGAAGCATAAAAGGGAATAATGAGGGCTTCTCTATTGGCTTAGACATATCTTAAAATAAGATGGATTTCTCAAAAGTCAAAAATAGGAGCCAAAAATAAAACTGGTCATGTGAGTCTCGTGTTAAAAAAAAAACTCTAGTTAAAGTAATAAAAAAGGACGGCTCAAGCTATTGGGGCCACTTGAGTGCAACCCACCTGTGATCAGATTTCTTCCTTGCATCGATGTCTCTTCCCCGGCAGTCCAGAACACACTTGTCCTCCCAATACTGACAATTTAGAAGCATGGCATGTGACTCTATCCAGATGCCTGTCCCACACCTGGAAGGCACTAGATAAGGAAGGACTAAGTGATCATGACAGACTATGAACACCCTCATGGAGGGCCTCACCCTCCCTGGGGAAATGAGGGGATATTGGGGGGGTTGTTGTGAGGGCGCAGGAGGAGGGGAGGGAAAGGGAGAGGGAAATGGAATTGACATGTGAAGCAACCTTGTTTCTAATTTAAATTTGCATTTAAAAAGAAAAGAAAAGAAAGGGCTATGTGATCATCTTACACGACATATCCAGCAAGAGGGCCAGGGCTGGGCATAAGCAGCCATGTTTCCTGCCTCCTAGGCCTCACCCATAAGCCCTGGATCACATTCCTGAGCAGGCTCTTGCAGAGGCTCGCTGTGCCAGGCATTGGTGACCCAGGCTTTTAAATCCGGGACTCTAGAGCAGAGGCAGAGGCAGTGCTAGGCAGATCACTGTGAGTTCGAGGCCAGCCTGCTCTACAAAGCAATTTCCAGGACAGCCAAGGATACACAGAGAAACCCTGTCTCAAAAAAAATAAATAAATAAAAAGCAATGCTGGCAGCAGAGAGGCAGAGATGTCTGACATGGAACTGTGACTGGGGTCGCCTCTTGTGCTCTTTTCACAGAGAAACCCTTTCTCACAAGCCCCACAACACCAAACTTTCCCTCCCCACATTCCCCCAGTCCCCCCTTCTATCCCTATCCCCAATCCACACCTCCTCTCTTTCTGCTCAGGAAGGGGCAGGATTCGCTACAGATCCTAAGCCCTGAGAATGCTGGGGGACCGTCCCTCTACAGATTATAGACATTTTCCCACACTGAGGTCTGAGAACACTGCCGAGGGTCACTTGTGCCGGGGGAGTGCTCCAGGACTGGGCAGCACTGTCAGCCCTCTTCCTCTGAGCTATTCAGACCCCAGTGTGATAGCATCAGAAGCCAGAGACTCCGAGTGGGCCATCCTACCTGCATCTAAAGATGATGCCCTTGGCGATCTTCAGCTCTCAGTGGAGCCTGAGGAAATCATGGGAAGGACCATCTGAGTCTTGTCTTCCGTTCCGTAGAGAAGCTCTGAGTGGCTCCTGTCACCAGCCCCTTCTCACAGTGACACCTTGACCTGTCTTCCCGGAGATAGGCCTATGTGGATTTCTAAGTGATCCCTAGAAAGAGGAATCCCAACATGGCAGGCCGGTGGAACCCTGACCAATTATTAGATGGACCCACTTTCTACCTTGTCTTCTTGGCATCAGAGAGCACTTGAACTTGAGCAGGATTTCAGTTTCACGGAGCCTCGGGGGTCTGCCTCTTGCTTTCTCGTGGAATCCAGAGCTTGTATTTGATTCCTTTTCCCATTGCTCCAAACCTCCTCACTGAGCGCAGGGCACAGGAGCAGACAAGACCTATGAGGAGATGTGCTGTGTTTATTGGTGAATGCAGGGATAATAGCCAGGAGAACCAACATGGGTCAAGATCACCCTGGAAATCCAAACCCTGGCTTTCTGGACTCCAGGTTCTACAGAAGCTGTTTTGATTCTAACAAGAAAGGAATGGAAAAGGTCCCAACACAGAATTAACTAAGCAGCTCGAACACTGGAGCTGGGAGCTTCCAGGTTGGAACCACAATGTGACGGCACCTGCTCTGAGCTTTAGTTTATTCTCATCCCTAAGTAAGGATGAAAGTTCCTGCCTTGATCTCCTCACAGGTAAATAAGAACACCCTTAGGCAAGGGTTCTAAGTGTGAGTAACCATGGCCTAAACTGTTACATACTTACTGTTACAGCCACAGAAAGTTCTGGTAAAATGAGCTAGGCCTAAAGAACAGGCGCAGTTACCTGGGATGCTAAGACTCAATAAGATCTAAATTAGACAGAAGGCTAAGGCAAGAGGTTGAGCATTCCCCAAATCAACAACCAAGGCAATTCTGAGGGACACAGAAGGTCTTCTTGTCTGACTGGCATCCAAGGGCGGAGAAGAGCACACACGCGGGCCCAGTTCAAGACTCCCACTTGCCAGAGCAGCCCCCAAATTCTCCAATAAGTGAGACATGTCCATCACGTTCTCCACCTGTAGAAAAGTTCAGGGGATGAGCAAGAAAATCCACTCCCTGTGACCTTCAAAGTGGTTGGAGAGAATGACTTCATAGGGTTATCCTGCAGCCTTCACATGCTAGGCACAGCACACAGATGCTGCACAAGGAGCACACATCACACACACGGAAAAGACAGGAGAGGACACGAGAGGAGGAGAGGAGAGGGAAGGGGAGGGGAAAGAAGGGGAGGAGAGTGAGAGGGAGAGGAGAGGAGAGGAGGAGAGGAGAAGAGAAGAGGAGAGTGGAGGGGAGAGGAGAGGAGAGGAGAGGAGAGGAGAGGAGAGGAGAGGAGAGGGAAGGGGAGAGGAGAGAAGGGGAGGAGAGACAGACAAGTGAATAAATGAGACAAGACACAAATAATGTGAAATGCTTGACAAGTCGTCCTAGGCTGTCAAAGCTCAGGCCAAGGTTGGAGGGAACATACCTACCAAGATGGAGCTGAAATCCACTGACTCTGCTAAGTCCAGGCTGGTCCAGGCTAGTAGGAGGAGTGTGGACTGAAAGTCCTTAAGCGTTGGCGGAAGGACGGGCATCACAACTTGAGATGAGCCTGGCAGAGGTGGAAGGCGAAGAGAGCATTGGTCTGAGCTCAGCACAGTCCTCTGGGACACAGTCCATGTCAGGAAGCATCAGGCCGGGATACAGTGGGGACGTCCCAGTGATGTCAGCTGAGTACAGACAGAGTCCGTTATTCTGGGGGAGACGCTGAGAGACAAGAGAGGACAGACTGCTGGGTGTCAGCTTTGAACCAGGCAAAGCAAAGAGGCTGAAGCCTCAGGTCATGGAGCTGAAAGTTTTCAGTGTTGGGACCCCTGGCTTCTACTGGGGACAATGGTGCAGCTTATTCTGAACCGTACACTTGTGCAGCTGAGAGTGACCTGGGATTAAGGACAAGGAAGGACCTTCTGTTGATTGTGGCGATAACCTCTGATGTCCCCATCAGGGACGCCTCAGGGGGCTTGTCTGCTTTGCGGAAGGTCACACTCACCCACAGCTGCTGACATCTACAATGAACATGACAGCAGTCAGAGAAGAAGGGATTTGTGTCTGCCCTTCCTACCGGAACCTCTCAAGTCTCATTTTCAGAGTAGAAAGAAAAGTCCTAGAGAGTGACAGGTGTCCTCAAGGTGACAATGTCAGAGTGGGACAGAAAGGAGCTTCAGGGGCTGAGGGACCACCCAGGTCGGGGAGGACTGCCTGGTGACGCGTACCTGGGATGGTCACTGCCTCTGAAAGTCCTGCAGCTGTTTGTAAGAACGATGGGACAGCACCGTAGGCACGAGGCTTCTTACTGCTGGAGGTCCACCATTGCCACCCGGTCAGGCTGCCTTCTGGCTCCCGTCTTTGTCACTGTTTGGGCCCCTCATCCACCTTTCCCATCACCAGCAAAATAGGAGTGCATATTACGGGCCATTGGCCATTTTGGAGATGCCAACACTACCAGGGCCTGAGAGCCAAGAGAGAGTTGAGACCAGCATGTCATCAAAAGTAAACTTGCAAGTAATTCTCTTTCCCTGCCCACACACTTCACTATCGCAGAGAGACGTCATGTGCGCTCATCCATGCTGGCGGCCTGTCTCATGGCAGCGCTCGAGGCCCTCTGTCTCATCCCTCCTTCCTCCCAGGCTGGCCCAGCACCGCTCTCCTCACGGGGAGTCTCCTCTCACTCCCTGTGCTGTCATGCATCCTCTCAGGTCCGTCCCCCTGTGGAACTGTTTTCACGAGGACTCACCTCGCCTCCTTTGTCTTCCCGATTATCCTGGACTCTGCCCGTTCCAGCCCCTGGTGGGCAGCTGGACCATCAGACTGACCGTCCTGGGATCCAGCACCCACTAAGGGCCTGGCGCGTCACCATAGCTACTGAATGTCAACTGCCGGAACAACAGCTCACAGCACTGCACGAAGGCAGCCCAGAGGGCCGCGTCAGGCCTCACACCCAGTCTTCACACTTTCTCCCTGTAGGTAAGAACGGGGTTGGGCCTGCAGAGGGAAGAGTTACCACCATGATGCTGCAGGAGGACTGGAGCAGGCCCAGCCCAGGTTTGAGAGACAGGCTGCAGGAGTAGATCTGAGAGCCCGGCTTTCCAGACGTCCCACATCTGGAGCAATATCCCGAGAGAACACAGAGACAGTGGTCACAGGGCCACCACTGAAGTATCTGGAGAGGGCCTCCTCCAGGCTCTTCAGGTCTGGAAGACAGAGAGTGAAAGCTGAAGGAAATTCAGGGACAAAGTTATTGATGTCCTGGTCACAGAGCAGGCACTAGGAGGATATCAGTGTAGAAAGTAGGTCTGAAGAGAAGATCAGTGGTTTCAGGATCCTGTTCCCAGGTAGTTTGGCCTCACGTCTTTCCATCCAACCTACCAGTGTCAGAGTCCTTGTCTCAGTGTCACCATAGAGACAGTAGCTCCCATAAGGGGATGCTGGGGTGGTTTTGTATTGAGACAGGCACATCAGGATGTTACCTCGAAGGGCAGAACGGCCTTGCCAACAGGACCGAATGTTGGCACAAGGGCTTCTGCATTAGACGGTGACAATGACCCAGCCCAGCCCATACTGCAGCCGCAACTCCACCTTCCATAGGCTTGACATGCCTTGGATGTCCATAAAGACTTGTGAGGGCACAGGGGTCCAGATTGCTGTCCCAACTTGTGTCTCCATGACTGGATCAGGGTTCTAGAGTGACCCTGGGAAGAGATTGTCCTCTGGGTGATTGGAGGTAGAATGCATGGAGGAAGTGAGAGAAAAAAGGCCAGCATTAGTGTCCCATGACTAGGGTATTATTTTGGTCTTGGGATGCAGGCCTTGAAAACTTGCTCTTCTTCAGAAGCTCTGGCTGGTTTTCACAGTGCCCACTCTTCTTGAGAATGGAGTTAGCGCCCTGCAGAGAATCCCGTGTCACTGCAGTCACATTGCCTTCCTGGGATCCCGTGGAGTTGACATGCAGCATGACCTAGGGAGCCTTCAGAATCTCACCTATGGATGCTGCTGTCCAGAGCTGGCTGATGCTCCACACTTTTCTGACAGGAAACTTGTAAGAGCCGTTGCCTCTGCCTGTCCCTCTGACCTGCAGGGAGTCCTTGAGGTGACCCCTTAGAGGCTTGTCCATAGTCCCTCTTCCAGGTACCATCTAGAATCACAGTAGATTCCCTCAGGAAGTTTGTTCCTTATGACCAGCAGCACAACATCCCTTCTCCATTCCTTGCTCAGATTCTACTTGGAGCATCCAGCCAGTCTTGTTCTAGTCAGCCATGAGCCTCAGGAGCAATGGACCACTGGCCTGGGTAGTCAGAGGCCCCACAATTGCAAAGTCAATGGCAAGGAAATGCAGGACGTAGGTCACATGGTTGCCCTCTGGCCAATCAGGGGAGCTCTTCTTCCAGGCTCCTCAGAAGTGGCAGACTGGGAGCTGGGAAACTGAAGAATTCTTAGTAAGAAACCACTGCCCTTTGTGGGTCTGTTCCTGGAATGCCACTGTGGAGAGTCCTGGGATACAGCAAACATGTCGTCCAGACTGGACACGCATGGACACAGGCACTGGGTATCCTGCTCAGCATCCCCCGGGCCTCCACACTGTGAGGTCATCAGGCTGTCGAGGGCTGATCACACTGACAGTCCACTTCAACTGCAGAGAGGCACGCACTGAAGTGTCCCCTTGGGCTTTGGCCATAGTCACCCTGCCAGGCATTGGATCCCCAAGCATTCTTCGTACTTGGTCATCTGCTCCCTATGGACAATGGCTTTCGAAGCACCATGAACTGAGGGAAGTCGTCAGCAGCATCCCGGCTGAGGCACAGGGTAAGACACGCATCTCCAGATTTCTCACTTTGAAGAAGTAACCAGTGCACCTGAGAAGTCTAGACCTCTGCCCGGGTGACCCTTGGTCCAGTCCCACCTTCAGAGGAATTCTAAGTCTAGACCCTGAAATGAATGTGACCCATGTCACTCTGAGCACTGCCCGACCAACAAAGACAAGGAGCACACCCTTGTTTACCTCTATACTACACATGGTAGTGTTGGCGATCATGACTTAGAGATGGGCCCTTCTGTCCTGCAGACAGAGACCCACAGCCTGCCACGTCGCTGCATGCACCAGGAGCTGCAAGGGAGAATTGAGGGGATGGAAGGCCATGGATGAGAAGGACAGAGAGTCCCAACCACCTTGAACATAAACCAGCTCATATCTTCCTGTGGCTGTGACCCTGAACAGGAGCATCCTGAAGGAAGTAGTGGGAACAGACTGAAGGAAGATTTGCCCGTGATACCGGCCACAGGGGGTAACATGCTCAGAAAGAGGACCACAGAGGGTGCAACACTATAGGCCATTCCCATGGTCGTGGGTAAACAAGGCACCCTCCACGGTCAGGCATAGCTGTTCAGAAAAGACAAGATTGCACCAGAGAACACTGTGTCCTTCCAAGCTAATAGATGATCACGAGGTCTTCACTGATGGGGAGAAAAGCCTGAGGCAGTAATAGATGCCGCTGGTCTGGTGTGGTCTCTAGGATTCAGAGAGGTCCAGCTACTCCATGCACTGCTTCTGTGGACTGGTGACCTCACTCGACATCCCCTATGGAGAAGGAGCTTCACCCACAGGTTCCACACAGCAGGGAGCACATTAATTAATGAAGTGGTGGGGCGGCTCTGCAAACTGACACTGTGTGAGAATGTTCAGGACAAAGGGTTCACATCCCTGGGGTTCAAAGACTGAAGAGTAGCAGGCTCACCCATGGAGATCTGAAAGATGTCTGCATGAGACATGGCACACAAGGATCCCTCCGTACCTGTCAGTACATCTACTAATTCCTAGAACCACTGCTAGTTTGGGGCTGGGACAGAGGGAACCTGGAGAAGGTGGTGAGACAGCGTCATAGCCCTTCCTGTCTTTCTGACCTGATCTTCCATTTCAAGACTCGACACTGTCTTTCTGGTCATCTGCTCCCTGTGGGCATCTGCTCCACATTCCCACATTGCCCACTCGTGGCACCTGCTCTCATCACAGTCTTTTGCTGTCTGCTGCTACTTGAGTTGCATGAGATATTAACTAGTTATGTTGGAGCAGTATAGCCCCCACAGGAGGTATGCCGTATTGCAACATTTAATCCAGCTGCTGTTGAAGTGCAACTGAACATCATGTAGGACCCACACACACACACACACACACATTTGGTTTTTTTCTCACTCTTCCAATGAAAAGGCACAGTCAAGACAGAGAAAATAGAACACAAAGAAAACACTTACACTTTCGTGTCTGCTTGGCCAATTCCTCACTGGGCTCTGCCTCCTGCCTCTTTCATGGGAGCAACTCTGTTGTTGATCATAGGTTGAGTTTCTCTCTCTGAACTCGAGAAACAACACCATCTTGACAGGCAAGCCCTGATTGTTTTGCCAAGTCTCCTGAAACACCCGATATTCTGAGGGGAAGATTTCGTGTCAGGATGCAGCCCAGATGGCAGGGGCATCTTCTCTTCCATTATGCTGTTGCCCACACATGGGGCAGCCGCAGTTCTAGATAGAGGGGCATGGCTACAAGTGGGGGTCACCCTCTGCGGGCAACATTGAGGATGGGAGGAACTTTTGGTCAATTTTCTCCCTAATGGTGTCAGGTTCTGTTGTGAAGGCTGAGTGTGGAGGGAGCCAAAGATGGGCTCACTGGATCCTCGAGTGAGGCGAGGTGCTGGCGATGTGGAAGGTGTGGCTTCAGAGACCGCAGGCTTGCCTGAGGTGTTGTAGTGAAGCTCAAGGTCCTTGTAAAGGTTTCTTTTGATGATAAGGTATGTCCCCATCAGTTCATCGTATGTTTCATTATGTATGGACTCTCTGATGGCATTGGCAGAAAATCCATGGTTTGCCATCAGGTTTATTACGTCTGGATCGGGGTAGCTGTCATCTGGGATGTTTACGTCACATCTCATGACCCAGGGATGTTGTTCAATATCTTCGATGGTGGGCCTCTTCTCTGGGGCAACCGTTAGCATTTGGTGGAGTAGGTTTTCGAGTTGCCCAGAGACACTAGATGGGACCTCATAGCTCCCTCGAATAATATCCCCAGTGGTGTCTTTCGAGTTGCTTCCTTTGAAGGGGTGGTGCCCAGTGGTCATACAATAGAGCACCACACCCAGACTCCACACATCTGCCTTCTTCCCATCGTAGACTTCCCCCAGGAGGAGTTCTGGCGCATTGAAGGTGCTTGTACCACATCTTCCCTGAAGCACAGTTCCAGGTTTACTTCTTTTGGCAAGACCGAAGTCGGCCACCTTAATATTCCCCTCTCTGTCCAGCAAGATGTTCTGGGGTTTCAAGTCTCTATGTATGATATCATTGTCATGGCAATACCTGATGGCCGACACCAGTTGACCAAACAGTCTCTGTGCCTCTTTCTCCTGCAGCCTGCCGCCTTTCCGGATTACCTTTGCCAGGCTTCCTCCAGGTGCATACTCAGTTATGATGTGTGTGTAATCCGGCGTTGTTATTATTTGAAAGATCTCAAGTATGTATGGGTGTTTTAAGAATTTTAATGCTGCCATCTCTGCCCTGATGATCCGAAGGCGTTCCTGTAAATTTTCCGTGGTCTTTATGGCCACCAGGATGTCTGTGAGGCGATGCCGAGCTAGTTTTACATGTCCGAATGCACCTCGGCCGATGTTACGTTTTATTTTGTATTGCCTTCTCAGGCTATCATCTTTGGATAAGTAGCCCATGAGGCCAGGTGGTCACGGCGCTCGAACAGGTGGTGGTGTAGTCTCAAGCCAACAATTAGTACAAGAGTCCCGCAGGTCACACTGATATCAGCTCCCTGGTCTATAGGGACAGAGCTGCAGCCAAGCCCAAGGTCTCCTTTACAGGACACTCATTCTCCCCTCACAGTGGGACTTTGTGAGGTCAGAGCAAGAGTTGCACCAATCTCAGCAGGCTATGGCTTGCAGTGGCTGTCTCCATGTTGGACCACAGTCACCTTCCCCTTCTTAGGAACATGTGACTAGCCTCCACCAGCTTCTACATTGGTGAATCAATGTCACGGACGCACACTTACTCGTTTAGAAATTACACAATGTACATTGCTTCAATGGCCTTTGTAGCTGGATCCCGAGTACCTCAAACCATTTCTGGTCTTTTGAGGATGAGGTACATCTTGAACACGTGTTCTGTGTTGGGACCAGTATGAGGAAATCCATTCCAGCTGCCACGAGTTCAGAGAGCTCAATTCACTGCTGCTGTTTCTAAGACTTTAGCTTACTGACTGCAGGATGCCCTGGCCTTGGTGGTGACTGGCTCCTATCAGAGAACAAGAGACTTGTGCCCAGGCGAGTTCACTCTCACCCTGACGACTAGTGCATCTATGAAGGGCCTGAGGGTCTAGCAGTACATGCAGCTATGGGCTGTCTTTAGGGTTAAGGGGAGTAATTCTACTCGCCCTTTGCACATGATAATAGAAGTCTTTGCCTTTGTCCCCATCTTTGGTTGATTATAAAGATGGAGGATGTATAAACTGGGGAGCGTTCAGTGTGGACTCATCTGCCTTCCTGACAGCTACCCTGTGTCTCTGACTCTTAGATCTCTTAGCTAGCCTTATGCTCACTCCCCTACTCAGGAACAGACCCAGGGCTGCTCTGCTGGTCCCGACTGCAGCCCCAAAAACACCAGGCCTCCACAGTCCTGCAAAGAGGCAAAATCACCAGGGGGTTTGGTCAAAGCCATGTTTACACTCTTCGATTTTGGGGACCAGGGGAGAAAAAGGGCAGAAATATCCATGGCATGGGGAGCTATTGGCTACTCTCTGGCCTGAACCTGTTAGTCCTAGTCCTGGGTCAGTGGCTGGCTTCTGGGGTGAATTAAAGGTCCACTTGATGTGTGAATATCTGGAAGTAGAAGGAAGAGGCTGGGGTGTCCTGGACACTCATCCTGAGTCGGCACTGTCATGCCTGTTCACCTCAAGCAGTCCTGGGAAAGCACTGTGTTCACTAGCGTCCTTTTAGGTAGGAAATGTGGATTTCTCCCTTGTGATCCAGGAAGCTGTTGCTCTCATCAATAGTGCCAGGGCCTCTCTCGACAGCTCCCAGGGCACAGCCCCAGCCTCTGCTGTGCTTCTGGGGCATCTCCAGTCAGGCCTACCTCATGCTTCCTGAGGTTTAGCTCCATTAGGGGACAGGATGTGGTTTCTGAACCAGAGGTCAAGTTCTCATTGTCTTTGAGGCAAACATAAACTAGCTCATGACGACTGCTGGGAATGCAGAGACCCAAGTGAAACCCGGTCACTCTGCCCTGACCCATCTTCCTGGTCCTGCTCATGTTGTCTGTCACAGAGGGCAACTCCTCCACCTGAAGCCAGGGAGAGGGGGCTTCATGGTTTCTTCATGGGCAGTGAGACCACATTCTGCTGCTTGTTGGCACACACCATGACCAAAGGCTCTTGGAGGGGAAAGGGTTTGCTTAGCTCATATACTGCAGTCAAAGCCCATCACTTAGGAATTACCATAAAAATTCAAGCAGAAACTAGGCAAAAGGACCTAACCCTTTGAGACCACATGGTTTTTCACTGATTTTCCCCCCTCCCTGTCCTTGTACTGACCCTGAGGTAAGTGTGCTGAATTCTCTTAGTTCCACATTTGAGTTGGGGAAAGGAAATTGCTCACACCTGCAGACAAATTCTCTGCCCACTCCTGCTGTGTGAACATCTGACTGGGCAGGATAGTCAAATAGGCACTAACGCCCTAAACAGGCCGGCAGCTGGCACACTGTGTGTGATCATCTGCACTGGACAGGAGCGTCACACAGACTTCTTGGCTGTGGAAAAATATTCCCAGAAAAAATGCTTTCCACCCTCAAAGTTCCATCTCATTGCTCAGACCACCAGAGCAGAGGACAGCCCACGTCTTTGTAGCCAGCTCTGTCTGGCAAAGCCGCCCTTCCTTTAATTAGTATAGAGCACTGTTCACGGTGCTGAGGCCCGCAAGCGCTGTTCCTTACTGTTGTGTGTTGCTGCTGTCTCATTGCTGACTAAGGTAAGCCACAGGCCCTGGTGCTGGTGCAGGTCAGGCCGTCGCGTGAGTTAGTGGAGCTGAAACATGGTGCACACAGCCCCAGGACATGGAAAGGGTGAGACAGGATTAGGGACAGTTGTCCAGCCACATTGCCCTCTCTGGACGACAGGACTTTTAGACGTCCACTTGCACAGGAGCCTTCGGGGCTCTCCCTGCTGCAGTGAGTGAGGATGGCCAGGTTCTGCCTAGGGGTGCCTGACCCACAATAAACATCGTGCACTGTTGGCCAGATTATAGACTTGCATCATAGATTCAAGTGTTTACTCATAACGGTCCATGGTTGCTAGTGAAGCTTCTTAAATCCATTTTGTTTGTTTTGAATTGAGACAGGGAAAACTGGACATGTGCCACACCCACTCCTGTGGTTTCTGTATGACAAGCCTAAAACATTGCTCGCAGGCCTTGAATCCCAGCACTCAGGAGGCAGAGGCAGGCTTTATCTCTATGAGTTCGAGGCCTGGCTGGACCAACAGCCTCCAAAACAATAAAGAGAAACCCTGTCTTGTAAAACCAAAATGAGAGAGAGAGAGAGAGAGAGAGAGAGAGAGAGAGAGAGAGAGAGAGAGAGAGAGAGGCTGAGAGACACGCCCCATTTGAAAAGGGGATTGGTGGAAGAACCTTGGGGGATGGGCACATCCTAACTGCTAAAGCTAGAGGTTAACTTACTTTATATTGCCCAGTGCTGGAGATGCGATCCTCAGAGAGGTGGCATTACCTCCTCCTCGCATGTTTTAAAAGAGGGGGTCCCAGGACAAGGTTTGTTGACCTGTGCTGTCCCAGAACTTGCTCTGTAGACCATTCCTCCTACTCAGTGATCCACTTGCCTCTGCCTCACAAGTGCTGGGACTGAAGGCACATGCCACCTGGCTTCCTCATGCCAATTCTAACAGCCTAGCTCCCCAAGGTGGAGCCCTAAATGGCCATCCCCAGCCTCCATGCAATGGAGCAGTAGTAGAAGGGAAACAGACTCTGTGCCCAATGGCAGCAGGATACCACATGATCAGGAGAAACACATTCAGACACTCTGCACAGCAGGCGATGCTCCTCAGCAATTCTTCTAGGATGTTCAGAGGAGCTGCCCCGGGGCTCCCAGTGAGCCCTGTCATCTTAAGAGAACAGCATGCAGACCTGGACCCTGTGGTTCTGAGGGAGTTGTATAAGGGACTCAGGCAAATTTGGACTCTTCCAGCCACAGGTAGAGTCGAAGCACACTGTCAGGATAGGTGGTGCCCTAGGGCTCAGCCTGTTGGCTTTCCTGATCCAGACAGTCAGGAGGCAGAAGTACTTGGCTGTGTATGTGGTCTGTACTGGATGAAAGTCACCAAAGACGCTCTTGGGAAGGAATGTGAAAGTGTTCTGCAGGAGCAGATCTGGGAGTCATCTGTCCCAGTCCATATGGCTGTCTGCAAAGCCACAAATGAGGCTGCAGACACGCCCGTCTCCTACTGTTACTTACAATGGAACTATCTGCTGTTCTTCCCATCCCACAGGGATCCTCAAAGCCAAGCCTTCCTTCTGGTAGGGGCTGACATCCAGGCACTGAGGAGGACTGCCCCTCAGAGCGGTGTGCAGAGGAGGTGACGCTAGTAGTGTTCTAAGTCTGTTGAACCTATGGCTGGAGAGATGAGCATCCCAAGGAGCTGTACTCAGTGGGGACCTCACAGCTTCCCGAGTGAAGATTACAAGCATCGCTTCCAAATGGAAGGAAGGATTGTATGCATCCTTGCTCTGTGTCCTGGAGGTCTGGATAGACACTGCCCTTGCAGTAATCTCAGCCTGGGCTGAATGGTTTTGGGTTGCAACCTCAGGCTCTCCCTTCCATCTGCTTCTATCAGGTCCCACAATGCCCTCAAGAGTGAAGCCCACAGATGATGAGACATAAATACCCTGTGGATTTCTCCATGTCCCTCTGCACTATGCTCCACTGCAAGGCTCTGCTCACAGAAGGGGGAAGCTCACAACTCCCTGCCAGCTCCAAACAACAGAATATGGTAAACTTAAAGATGAGTCCCTTGTAGACATCTGAAGGCTTTTGTAGCCTGGCCAGGTTCTGGAAGCCTGTGCTGCCACACGTGGAATCACAGCCCCCATTCGACCGAGAAGAATTCAGCCTGATCCCAGACAGCAGCCACCAGTGAGTGAGAAACAGATCCCTCTTGCTGCTGGTCATTGCACATGCTGAGGACACAAGGGACATGCACACCAAAGTTGCAGCTACATATGCCAAGCTGTTGCCACTCCCTGCGTTCTGGACTGGGTTTCAGTAGCGGCCGGGGGTAGAAACCCTGAGTCTTGTGAGCATACAGAAGTAGCTGCTGAGCATGTCCTGAGTAAATGAGCCTGGCTCTCCCAATAGGGAGCTCTTCGACTGTTCAGCTGATGGAGTCAGTCTTTCCTACAAGCTCTAGCAATGGTCTTTGTAGAAAGCAGAAAGACCAAAGGCACGGAGTCAGGACAACGCTACAGCCTGAGGAGCTCATGTCTCATCTGCACTCCAGCTAGCATACACAGCGAGAGCAGGGTGGTGAACATCAGACGGAACCTGGGATTCCCCATGGCTCCTTTAGCCCTGCAGGAATCTATAGCTGCCCATCACTATAGCAACACATCACATGATAGCAATTGGCTGATAATATCTCCCCAGCTTCTCCCAGCTGTCA